GTTGTCATCCTTTTGCCTTCAGAAGAAAACAGTAATTCAAAATTACGTTCAGTAATCCAATTATTCCAAATATTTTTAAAAAGGTGGACATAATCAAATAGTCATTTTAGTTATCCAATGCTTATAAACAATAATGTCAAATGTTTTGAAAAAAAGATGGATGGGTCTTGTTATTGTCACGTACAATTAAAAATACTTAACCATTTGATTGCAACAACAATATATGGAAGTTTTCATATAAAAATGTCGCCTCTAATTTTGCAAATGGGATCAAGGAAAAATTTTGGTTAACCTTTTAAACATTTTACCATGAGGACCACTACTGTTTTTTCTAATCCTTCAAAATTTTCAGCAAAACCAAATAAATTTCCTCCGTGATATTATAGCATACACTTCATCAACTAAAAGAATACACTTTTTCTGATTTTCAGAGATTTTACTAAAATATCACCAAGAAAATTAAAGTCAACTAATGTTTGAAACTTCTGATGTCAAAGCTGATAATGTTTTGAGCTAGCCTTTTTTTCTGTTATGAACATTTTCTCTTCCATTAAAGGACATTTTCTCATTTCCTTTTCTTTCCCTCTTAATTGTCTTTATCCCTTTACCCTTTTTTTTCTGTATATATAAATAAACACTTTCTTCTTTTATTGTTACACGCCGAGCAGGAGTTTTTTCTTTATTCGTATGCGCCTAAAAGAGAGAGTCTGTCCGCTCTAATCTTACTGATTTTACTCGCGTTTTGTCGCAAGTTTTTAACCTCAACCCAATTTTTTAAACTCAACCCTTGAATGCAGGAAAACCAGGACAGATTTCCCAGCAAGACACTTGTGAATTTCGCACCGTAAACGTTTGTTTAAAGATAAAATATACAAGTTTAAATAAAATAAATAAACACTATATTTCCTTTAGTATCTAAAATAATAGACTTAATTCAAAGGTAAAAAGTAAAAATTCCTTTAAAAAAATTAATTTCTTAATTCAATTCGAGCAACGAACTTTCGCGTGTTAGCCCCTAGTCCCTGAAGAGCTACACACGCTGTACAGGCTTGGGTTAAGGATGCCTTGATGTGTAAGTATATGCGAACTTGGGTGTGTATGAGTTTTGACTGATGATTGAAGAATCCAGTTTCTATTTAAAGAATGTCGCTTGTTCCAAGTTACCGACTTGAAAGCAAAATTTTAAAAACTTGTAACCGGTTCGTAATTGTTAACATTTTCAGAACAAATTATGTTTCATATCATATGCGTAGATCTACTTGCGTAGAGACGAGGTTTTTTATATCTGTTCTTCCGGTCTTGAAGTGGGAACATCCGTGAGGGATCTTAAGCGGGTCATTGCAGTATGCGCGTGATAGTAGTTTCCGCTGTATGAAGAAAAAAAAATAGCAATGAAAATGCTCATGCAAGAAGGATATAAAAGAGACAAGAAGAAAAAGATACAAACGCAGTGAATTAATGTCGAAGTTGTTATCGTTATCATTGTGAAGAGTAAAATACAACTTTGTAAGCTGGTAAATGTGAGCAACGACGAAGTTTTAGAGAAAATAGAAACAAAACGGACACTTACACTTAACAACAAGAACAGACAGTTCAAACTTCTAGAGTAGATAATGAAGAGGGCTTAGAAAATCTGATAATCACCGGACATAATAAATCAAGGAACAAAGTAAAACAATGCATAAACCTACCCAGCGAGTTTGTATGGCGGAGCAAGGCTCAGTAGAGATATTAAAATGACAAAATTTATTAAGAGCTATAGAGGGTAGGAAATTGTGGAGAGCCACGATCGCCAACGTTCTGAAGGGACATGGCTGGTAAAGAAAAAGTTCATATAGCTTATTAAAATCAACTTTTAAAATATTGAGTACAAAATATAAAATACAGAGTACAAATTTTGCAAAAAAAAATTCTTACACAAAAATTTCATTTCGTGCGCCTCATTACGAACAAGGATAGATAACAATACAGTTATAGAAACAATTGACTCTAAAAACTGATTGACAATACGAATTTTTCAAAACAAGAAAGGATGAAAAACTAAGAAGGAAAAACGAAATTTTCGGAAAAACAAAAAGAAGAAAGAAATTACACTTAGAAAAAAAAAAAGGCTTCACCAACCTAAAAGATAGGCGAAAAAACCTACGTGTTTTATGACATGAATCCCAAAGAGAAATAAAGATCTTTTGCAATTTCTTTGTTTTTGAAGTCTCCTTTTCGTGGATGGCCTAAGGATGCTTTTTGTTTTTCTTCGGTGTAGTTTTTAAACATAAATCTGACGATTAAGTTCAGCCGACCCTCCATCACACGTGACGTCCAATCCCTTCTTTAGTCTAAGCAACATCTGCCGTCTCTCAATACCTTCTGCTGTTTCTCGCCGACTTTTTTCCCACCTTCTTTCCACTCTGTCCTCTTTATCTGCTTTCTAACCTCTTTCTGCCGTCTCTAATCACTTTCTGAGTCTATCCGTTGACTTAAATACCCACGGAAGTGGCTCAACGGACCCCGATTTTAAATTTACGATGGCGAAAGTTACCCTTTTCATTGGACAATAAATAATATATTATTTCTGAATTTGAAAAATGAATCCCCAACAGTCCACAATCACAGTTATTCCTGGCGGTTCTTTTTAGGGCCAATTCAAAAATAAAAACTTTTACACACAAAATGAAATTTTTTTTTTTACTATAACTGTAAAAGAAGTGGTTATTTATTGTATATATTTTATAAACAATTGCAGCACAAGGCCAAAAGAAAAGTGATGAGAGGCTGGGCAGCATTTACTATCCTAAACTTGACTAATCAGATTCACGACCCATTGATGTATTACAATTTGCTCATTCACCACAAGAACTTATTCATCACCATTCAAATCGACATGCACCACAATACAACATTTTCACAGGGAATCCATAAAAATTCCCATGACATAAAAATTGCATCGAGTCCAAATGTCTTCATTTTTTTTAATCTCAATTCTTTCTTAGAAAAATATCTAAAAAATTAAATACATGAAATGATGGGGTAGGGGATAAACCTAAAAGACGAAACTAAAAATAACACAACATCTAACTAAAATAAAATATGTTAGTAGAACCCGTCCAACCCCACAAAAATAAGAGCGGCCGCTGTATTCTTCCTATAGCTCGCTCTCTAAAAACATGGAACGGGCAAAAATAAATTACAGGGTTGGAGAAATATCAATAGGCTGATCCAGTCAAGATAAAAAGAGACCAAAAACAAACTGGGGGGTTGGGAAACTCGAGATTAATTATAACAAAAGAGAATGCTGGGAACAGGCCAGAAACAATAATTACTCACATTAACTAGGCGAACAAAGAGAGTTTAGCTTAACCAGGGAAGGGTTCCCCAAGAAACCAGCCCGTTGCGTTAAAGGGGACTTAAAAAAGAAAATCAAACTGGTCAAGTTCAATCGAACCAACCTCGCCACCTTCACCCACTTTTCGCTGAAATCTGTCCACAGCAAACGTTTTCTATCAGATCTGATCTTCATCTTTAGCTGATGCCCAAGAATCCGACCAGCTCGTTCGTATCGCAAGATTCCCCCCATCCGTGACGTCCACACCACCATTCTTACCATGGTTAGCAACGTTAGAAGCACCATTCATTTCACACCAGAGAACAGAGGCGACGCATTATCGCATGCGTATGCGAGATCAATGGACACGAGATGTTCGGGATCGACACGAGCCGTCAACTCGCCAAGATAGTCCCAGAACAAGTGGTAACGAGCGTGCGAAGCCGTTTCATCCAGACCAAGTTTAGACCGATGACAGTCAGGCAAATCCACCCAGCCCTTTCTGAAGTCATTGAGAGATTGCACGTTCCGAATCAATCTCCAGGTAATCAAAAACTCAGATCAGAGAGAATGCAAATCGGTCGCTGACAAGCCAAGGCGTCCATAGAGTGTGTCTGACCCCACCTACTCCACTAAAATCCGATACAAGAGCCTTCGAGGCCGTGAAAGTTCACTGGATAGAGTGTCGATCGACTCACAAGGCCGATCGACACTCTTTGAGGAAGCTCGACTGTTTCTGAGGCTTACGACGGCATTCAGTATCAGAAACAGTACGAATGATGGTAAGACTAGGGAAGGCGTAATTAACACTCCCCTCCAAGATCGAATCGTCTTTCAATGCACGATATAGCAAAGCCAATCTCGAGGCGTGTTGATGACTCACCAAGTGTGGCATTTTCAGCCCCCCTATGACATGGCCGCTGAACACAGACACCTCTGCAAACATGATGCCTGCCACCACCCGACAAGAGTGAGTAAAGTAAGCGCTCGAGAGCCTTCCTACGGTTTTTGCAGAGTATGAGTACATATAGGCAGTAAAGGATGAGAGGAAAGACATACGTGTCGCACGCTTCAGCCCTACCCCTTAAGGACAACCGTCTTCGGAGCCAAGTCCGTATCGCCACTTTTGCCTGTACCTACGACCAATTCTTCTTCAGCTGGAGTCTGGGCCCAAACCACACTCCAAGAATGCGAACAGGTCTGTCAGTCCAACTAAGGGGTCCCGGAAGAGCGACCCCCTTCCAGACAACTAACCGCAAGCCGGAAGACTTGATGCGGTTTATCTGGGCACCCATGGCATTGTACTGTTCAAGCGCTTTCTGTACCACCTCAATGGGAGTGGACTGAGAAGATAAAGTGGATGATGAGACAGTTACTGAGATGAGAGAAATCGCAGAAGAGGTGAGAAGGAAGGGCCCAGTACGAGGGAAGTTGCATGCCCCAAAATGAACAAAGGGAATAGTATAGTGTGATGTAAGTAGTATCCCTATGAGTGTGAGTGTAGAAATTGACGACAGCGTAGTTGAAGACGCAGCCTGTCTGAGAGAAAAAGAATGATTACAACCATATAAACGTGACGAAGTTGGATGCCACAATAAAGAGCGTTAATCTGGCTTTGAAATAGATACTAAAAGACGTGGAAATCAAGACTGATTCAGCCACTGTTCTGAACTGAATAGTTTCAGTGATTACAGAAAAAAAAGAAAGTCCTGACAAAGGGTGCTGCGAAAATGATTATCCGGCGACGGTTGAGAATATTAAAAGAGTTAATAAACGAATTGAATTTACGTGCAATCTTTGGGCCTTCGCAGAGGAACAGGGCCAATGTTCTGACTCGAATGAAGAAAAACTGGATGAAAGGTATAAGAGGATACAACTTCGGTATACTGCTTAGGATATGAGGACTTGAAAGAGTTGCACTGCCCGCATTACGTAAGAGTCGAAAGAACATTGTATCTGGTTCGTAAGATTGACCCGAATATCACAAAAGAAGCTGTGAAGAGGGTAGTTAAGCTGTGCACTCGGTGTCAATCAATCGACCCTTCACCGAACACACATGTGCCAGGGGAGATCCAGGTGACCACCGAATAGACGAGACTGGCTATAGAAGTGACGCACTACAGAGGAAAATTGTACTTGACGATGGTTGGCTGTTGTCCTGGACAGATTGCGATCTAGAAAGAGATCCGATCGGAAGCAGCAATCATCGTTGCGGAAGTGCCAATGAGATCTTTTTAGAGCGTTAGAAGAAGTCTTTCTGGACAATGGTGCGATTATCGCTCGGAAACCCTTCTAGCAATGAGTGATAGATGTAATGTTAAGTCCAGTGCAAATGAGAAAGAAACCACCGAACGATAAATAAATTTGCTGAAAGAGGAGAAACATAGACCACCAAAGCGGTGCTTTGTCACAATATGTCGCCTAAGTCCGGACAAAAAGAGAAAACAGCGCCACAAAAGGCTATATTTAAGTACACGTAGAGATATCCAAGAGCTGTAAGAGAAAAATTTCCCCGGACCTGTCAGGTCTTTGCTCTGTTTTCAAGAATACTTGGCGAGCGTTCATCTCCATCGCAATATTGCGCCACCAGCATCTTTAATGTCATTTAAAATTCTTTGAGTTTGTTACCAAAAAGGAGGTGCTGATCACCTCATTAGAAACAGCCACATAAGCAACAGACGGTAGGGGTTTCGTTCATCTTGATCTACTGCTGATATTCTAACTGTCATCACTCACGTAGTCAATGAAGAGCTCTATGGACGCATTCTCACCAAAGCGATGACCCATGATATCTCGAAGGTATTTGATATGGTAATGCATAGGGAATTGTTACAGAAATTCTACGGCCATGGCACCTCTGGAAAAGTTTACGAGTCACCCGGAGGAACGAACGTACACCCCACTCCCACTAATGGACGAAACGTGGTACCCACGACCACTTACATTATCTCCCAACTTTCGAACCTCCCGGAGGGCGGGGAGACACGACGGTATTTCGAAACTGAAATTAAGTGTGCAGCTTTCGTCACGTCAATGATCTGTCCGCAGCTTCACCCACTGAAAACTTATTGGGACTTTTTCTTCTAAAAACTGTCGGGTTTTGGTCGTCTTCTCCAGGCATCGGAGCAGAGGACGTCACGCGCGCGAAACGAGGACGGCAATGGAGCCGCTGACCGCTGCGCACGTGCACGCTGCCAGTCGGCGTGGAGTCGTCGTCGACCAGATCTGAAGAACTCACCGGACCGTTCGATCGGGTAGTAGCGACGGACGTTATGTACAAAGTGCAGGGACGTGATCTACGCGGGCCTAGCGGGAATGTAGGCCAATGGAAGTCTTTGCGAATGGCCACATTTCTGAAACTCATAACATCAACGCAAGCATCTTCCATGATTATCTCCTCTATACAACTCTTTTTCTTCTTTTTTATTAACCCTCTGTCTGGGAACATTCTCAGAACCTACATGGATTCAAGAAAATGTAAGATGACGATTGATGTTGCATTTTGAAGATTGTAGTTATCAGGAAAGCAAGTAAACGAAAGGGATTTCCACAGACTGGAAGCGCGGGAAAAAGGAACTGTTGGAGTAGAAGTGGCGGTTACATTTAACTATATCAACAGTAAAAGGGTGGGACCTAGATGCCAATCTAGTACTACGCTTAAATTCACGTAGTCAGGGCACCAAACTTAGATGGAAATTTATATGAGAGATCATTATGATAGAAAAGACTCGATGATTGCATAAATTCTTTCAAGGATATCCTAGATTGACAGTTTCTGTAACAGCCCCCTATACTCGACCACATAAAAAGCTTTTCAGATTGGTGACAACAATTGCGCCTCTTGGGTGAAAGCCGGTATCGCGGAGTTTGTGTCATCTCATAAATACCAGATAATACAATTTTTTATCGAGTTCGCGGGCTAGCGGGTCGGAAAGAAGAATCAGAGAGCCGAGTTCGATTTGCAGTCAAATTCGTTACATTTACTTACGTGCAAATAGCATTGGGGAATATCAATCTCTTACTTCCAAAACGTTTCATGAAAAAGAAAATTCTGTTTTTGAGAAAGCTTGCTACATAAAATGCATTCAAGTTAAGCTATGAGATTAATTACTGTTATTCTTTATCGAGGCATGAATCTTCCGGGTTAAAATAAACAGTTAATTTATCCACGCCAAGAACATTCAAGAAGGATGTTAATGACGAGGGAATACACGGATAATTTTAACAAAACAAGATAAGGAATTTATTTAAGAAATTTACATGTTTGAACTTGTCAGTAGCGCTTTTCAAGAAAATAAGCCAGAAGTTTTTAACGAATTGTCATGAAGAGGAAATATTCATACAACAGATTAAATAATCTGACACAAAATAATATCCAAAAATGTATAAGACAAACGTAAGAGAATTCGTTGCTACCCGAAGGGATATATAGTTGGCATACGTTCAAAAGTAGACGAAGAGAACTAGTTTGAAATATTTAGCTTTCTTGGATTATTGAAAGAAAATTCTTTGAAGTACCGGGTGCTTGGTTAAAGGCTGATAATATAATTGGCGAATTATTTTACACTAGCAACTTTGGTCGCTGGGGAAATGAAACCTTTCACATGACTTCAAACATTCTCTTCAGGTTAATTTTTTCCTGATTTTATATAAAAAAAACGAATTTCGCATAAGCTCTCTACTTTCTTCTTCTTGGCTCAACGGCTAAAAAAAAAAAACGTTTTTTATTGGTCCAAAAACAATTTCACATATGCTCGCGAATTCCTTTATGACTTCTCATCCCATCGGTCAATTACTGTGAAGGCAAGGTTTTCATTGGTCCAAAAAATTTCACATAGGCTCACGAATTTCTTTCTCTCTTCTTTCTCAATTATCCGAATTTGAAGGAAGTGGGTGACAGGAGTTATTATTTCGCACTCACTACATTCTCTCCAGGAATTGTAATTTTTATTTTTTATTGGCCTATTCATCTTCTTTAGTTTCGTTTTTCTTTTTTCTTTTTTTTTAACCCTAGTACACTAACCATCAATTAAAGTTACACTATTACTAACCATGGGTATATCATACCCGATTTTGAAAATATCAAAAAAAATATTAAATATAAATATTTATTTGAAATATTTTACATGCAGGCACTTCAAACATTGTACTTTGAGTTAACATTAATAGGAACTGAAAAATATTATTTAGGTAAGAAAATCAGGTACTGAAAATTGTAATTAAAAATAGGAAAATTTGCGCTGGGTACTATATACCTATGGTTAGTGTTCTAGGGTTGACGTTGGTGAAATTCTGAAATGCTTGTTGTGATTATCCGAATATTATATCATTTCAATTTCTGAATGAAAAGGAATTTTAAAATTAATTTTTTTTTTAAACGGCATTCGAACATTAAGTAAAATAAATGCAGTCTCACATGAACCATCATTGAATGGTGTGTTGTTTTATTTTTCTCCTTTTCATTTGCAAAACACTCAGAAAAGGCGTATATTCTTTTAAGGCATACAATATAATTCACAGGCCAAGGTAGATGAAGGACGTTGCTTTCTTTATATGTAAATAAGTTAAGTATTGCAAAAGACCATTTATCATTTCAATATCAGCCACCAGGTATTGTGAAAATATGTGGAAAAACAAAGATTGCCGCACAAAAAACATCTGAATGTCCTGAGTAAAAAGAATCGTTTTCATATTTTTATATAATCGTTTTTTTTTTGTTGTTTTTTTTTTCTTTATAATCATTGTTGGGAAACAATTCCTAGAACATACACTCAGAAGTATCTGAGAACATCTGATTACAGACAAATGACGCACTGAAATTCCACCACCTAAGTCTCCTATATATATATATATATATATATATATATATATATATATATATATATATATATATATATATACTAATGTTCTGAGAATTGTCATGAAGAGGAAATGTTCATACAACAGATTAAATAATCTGACACAAAATAATATCCAAAAATGTATAAGACAAACGTAAGAGAAGTCGTTGCTCACCGAAGGGGTATAAAAGTTGGCATACGTTCAAAAGTAGACGAAGCGAAATAGTTTGATCTGGAGGATCAGATTTTGAATTCAGAGTTGTCTTAGAACAGTTGCTATAGAACCCATTCTGTCCTGATATTTATCCATAACTGGAGAGAGAAGAAGAGGATTCATATCTTTCCCAAGGGTATTAACAAGTAAGCGAATGTAATGGATTCGACTGGAATTTGAACTCGGCTCTCCGATTCCATAATCTGAGCCGCTATTAATTACTCCACAGTGCCTCCACGTCTCCTGATGTGATATGGTGATACTTTTTAAAAATTTATTTAACTTTCTTCCACAAAAGTATTAAAAGTACAAATCTGTTATCGACAGGGCAGAACCAACAAGACCCCACTTCCTCTCTTATCTGTGAATAGATCAAATCGAATAGAAAATGAGAAAGAGCTATAGGTTCTAATATATTTTTGCACTTATTTATTTGCCGGTAATTAAGCATTAGGACATTTAAATTAAACGTCTGCAAACTTATGTTCTCAATTTAATACGAATTCAAGTAATAGTAATATTAAACAGGATATAAATTTAATAGACTTAATTTTATTTACATTTGATGTTAAACGTGATAAAATTTTAACTCTTTCTATCATTGATACAACAAGCTTTGTAAAATAATCATCCACCGTATCATATAACGTACTGGGGAACATATATTTTATTAAATATCTAACGCTTAATTCTAGATAATTTGGGTGTGCCAAGTTCAAATTAGGGCTAAAGAATTAAGTCATGTGATAAATTTATTCCTCCCCCACACAGCTATGGGTAAATAGCAGAACACACCGGGCTCTATAGACTTGGATGGCAAATGGTCTACCGCAGAATGAAATGGCAACCTCCTGCGGGAAAATAATCTTCCTCGTCAGTCATGTATCTTTCGATACATGATCGCCTAAGCGTGTATCACGCATGGCATATAACTGAGTCTTTATAATAATTAAAATGTTCAGTATGGAAGAGGCAGGGTGAAGTAATGTATAACGGCTTGGATTGAGGAGTCGGGGAGCCGGGTTCGAATTCCAGTCAAATCCATTACATTCACTTACGTGCTAATACCCTTGGGAAAGGTATGAATCTAACTCTCTTCGCCTGAAGAGGCACGATAGAGTAATAGATAGCGACTCGGATTGAGGAGTCGGGGAGCTGAGTTCGAATTCCAGTCGAATCCATTACATTCTGTAGCCTTGGATGGCAACTGGTCTACCGCAAAAAGAAATGGCTACCTACTGCGGGAAAATATCTGCCTCGTCAGTCATGTATTGAAAGATACATGATAGCCTAAGTGTGTATCACGATTGGCATATAAGTGACTGTTGAATTTCATGAATCCAAGCAGTTCAAAATTACATTATAATGATAGAATAAAATAAAAAAACACAAGCAGATATGAAGCTTTTACTATGGAAAAATATTTTACAAGACTTTCTAGCGTATTTGTTTGTTGATGACAGGTCTCTTTTCAAGCACCAGCATTAATCAGCCATAATATAGGAATCCCAGCGACCTTGGTACCATCCCTCCATAATTTTGATATTTTTGTGGAATCTCTCCCCTTCTTTGTCACTTGCATCACCTAATTTACCTGGAAATTGGTCAAGATGACTATTCAAAAAATACATTTTTGCATGCAACCTCACTTTTGTAGTCTCTTAGAAATTTCTTTTACGATTTCTTCGTAGTAAACGTCTACATAATTGCCTAAAATGATTTCTATTAAGTCTACGAATAGTATTTACTTGATTCCCACAAGATCAAGATGTGACACAAGGTCGATTAAAGTGGGAGACCCGGGTGTTTCCACTCAAAGGCCACTGGTCAAAATTGGTCATTGCTTGTCCAAGCTGGTCAGATCCTAGTCAAAGCTGGTCATGACTTGTCCTAACAGGTCCAGGCCGGAGCCAGTCCAAGCTAGTCAAAGCCTTGATCGAATCTCAGCCTTCGGCCAAGAAACGATCCAATATTTGTCAAAACCCCCGGCCGAAAAAAGGCCGAGGAGAATTAAGTCTACGAATGAGAACCGAGCATTTGTTCGCGCATATTCATGACAGTAGGAAAATTTACTGGCTTTAATTAATGTTCTTATTTGTGAACCGTCGAAAATTCCCGCCTTGAATTTTTCATAACTTAAACTTGGAAATTTCGAAGTTATGTATGTATTTGAAACACTCGCCGTTCGTATCTAAAGCTTTTACATATTTTGTTTAATGAGGCCTAATTTGACAGGCAAAGGAGGAAGTAGGATTTTATCTCAGCTCACAAAAGTAAGTAATGTTCGTGCTGGTCAGATTTATTTGAAATAATATTCGTCTGCTATCCCTTTTATATGCGAAATATCAGTAACATATTCATTTATAAAACAGAGGTGACGTTGTTGCCTCTCAGATTTCGATGGAGTTTGGCATCTCGACGTGGTGTAATGGTTCGCAAGTTTGTCTCGTTAGGACCATTGTGACTGAATAGAATAGTTCGATCCTCACTAAGTGCCCCATTCTTTCGGCCTTGTGCCACATCTAAGCTGCGCTTAGAAAAATCACCATAAGTCTTGCAGTTGGAGATTCATCTCCAGCTGTGCTGTTCAAACTCTCTACCTCCGGGCAGAGATGATCCACAGACAAGGCTCTGTCGAAACAGCTAACCGACCCCGTTTTCTACGGGGTCGACGGGGAATTTTTGGCCGAGCCTACGGGCTCGGATACCTCATATTAAATTCAGCCTTGTGCCACATCTGACCGCATGGGGCGTTTAGTAGATATCCTGCTAGGTAAGCAGCTAGTAATTCCTTGTCGAAAGTAGAATATTTTTGTTGCATCAATGACAATTTCTTTGAAAAGAAATCAATAGGAATCAGTTAGTCGTTTGACATCTGATGTAATGCTGCACTGGAAGCGTAATTAGAATTGTTTCTTACAAGCTTAAAATTATTAGCTTTTGAGTTTGGGTAAGGAAGAACAGTTATGCTTGACAAAGTCTCTTTTATACTTTTAAAAGACTCAATCTCCTCTTTTCTTAGTGCTAAGTGTTTCGATTTTGGGTTCATCCGTATGCATTCTGTGAGTAGGTATATTTTATCACTAACACGTGGAACCAGTTCCCTATAGAAATTGGCCATTCCAAGGAATCTACGTAATGACTTGGAACCGTTTCGGGGAGGAAATTTGATTGAGTCAGCAAGTTTACAAGCGCTGGGTTTAATACCATCACCAAAAAGTCAAGCTCGTGAACACCGATCAAAAAGTTCGAAAGGGAAATTTTCAGATCGTACTCACTAAGTTTTTGTAAGATTTGATCGAAGTCCCTGAAATGAGTTTCTTCGTCGTCTGAAAAGATGACGATGTCACCGATGTTCACAAATACGCTTTTAAGTTGGCGCCTAAGGGGGTCGTCAGTGATGTTTTTGACTTGGTTCATCAGGGAGTTTCGGGTCTTTCAACATCATACTCCCCATCACCAAATCGACCCAATCAGGGGAGATCAACCCCTGATTCCCCCTTTTAATTAAACGCTAACAGCCACTCTGGCCTTTTTAATGATTAAGAGGAAGAAAGACCACGTCTTCCGCGCATCCGATTGGATGCTTGTAACAACCAATCCGGTGCGCGAAATATCTTTTAAATGGCCCGCGGTGGGGACTGGCTTCTTTTCTTATTTCGGTGGATTGCGGTTTCGATGGATAACCGAGGAGGTAATCTAAATGTTCCTAAATCTTAAGTATTGTATGATTTAATTCTTTGCCGTTTTTATTTTGCTTTTTCTTTTCTTTGGCGGGGATACATAAGCTCAACTCTATTATCTTATCGTTTAGACTGTATCTTGCATGTTAACAATATATATATTTCACGTCTATACAAAAATGACATTAAAAAAATGTAAAATAAAATAAAATTACAGTAAGCACTGTAATATTCCTTAATATTGATTATATACAAATTTGAAGTCGTTAAATATAATAGACGACGAAATGATCTTGAAGTAAATCTATTAAATGTATATAAATGTACAACTGAAATCACGGAAGATGTTGTCCATTATCCGTTGAAATGTACTTGATGCCTTCCGTAGTCCGAAAGGCATATCGTTGTACTCGAACAAACCAAAAGGGATTGTAATGGCTGTTTTACATCGTCCGGATGGAGTGGCACTTGGTGGTAAGCTGATAATAAATCAATTTTTGAAAATATTATCTTACCATACAGCTTAGATGCCTCTGAATTTATATTTGGCACTTGGTATAGATCTGCTTTTGTCATCGTTTTGGAGACACTGTAGGTGTTGGACATTTTCTTGTTCCCTAAAATAAAGAAGATCGTCTGCCATTTTACCCAATCCGTTTGTGTCAAGGATGATTTGAGCTCCTAACACTGGTTTGATCGATGCTGGTAGTACCTTGTAGCAGATCGTAGCTTTACGTGTTGTTAAATTAGGAACACGTGTGTAACTCCTGAGAGAATTAAAAGGTCCACTACAAGAATATGGCGGACTCAATTTGAGTCCAACCGAAGATGTAAAGAAAACAAACAAGACATATATATATATATATATATATATATATATATATATATATATATATATATATATATATATACAAAAAGTATATGTATTAAAAAACAAAATTTACAATGGACATAGAGATTAAAATTTGTGTTTGTGTGTGAACGTAAAGAGTTCGTATTTTGTTGAATGTTCGTACGTACATGTACGTGTGTTTCATGGCGTTATCCCACAAGTGGGCAAGAACGCAAATCTCTGCGAAAGATCACATCCTTTAAATGTGTCCGCTGAAATGCAAAGTAAAAAGAGAACGAGGCAAGAAATCACCCAGTATTTATAGTGTAGGGAGGACGTGCACTAGTGAATAGTTAGGAAATTAAGGAGGAGTTAACTCCGACAACCTGTATGAATTTATGTGGAAGTATATCATTACTGACACGAATACGACTCGCTAGAGACATCAGTTCATTTAAATATATGGACGGATGCCCTGTGATGACAGAGGTTGTCATCAGTTTGTCCGGCATTTTTGGCTTGGATTTTCATACGAGGTAATGACGGCTTCCTTCAGTATTTCGTAATTGGTTTGTTGTAATACTGCTGGTTGCAGTTTCCCGGCAATGTCCGGAAGAAGAGAAGCCGATATGTGGTAAAATTTCTGTTTTGTTTGCGTTATGTATGTTATATTAAATCTATTATGGAAAACCACATTAGAACGTTGGATTCAATGAATGCAGGTGGTTTGATTGATAACGCCTGTATGGTACTGGCTTAGTCGAAAGATACCGTTTCTACTTCACTGTCGGACACTGTTCTTTTTTGTGTCTATATATGCTTCAGGAACGTCGAAGTTTACCAATGTGGAAGTCACCAAAAAGTAGGGGTTTACTTCTTTGCAGGTGGGTTACCTTTTGATAAGGTCTTTAATCCAAATATGCACCAATTTATGGCCTTTTAAAAATGCCTGCAAAGATAATTAGTACAAAGATGTATATTACATACAGTATTTACATTAGTCGGACTATTGTCCTCATCTTTGTCGCCATATTTGTCACAACGTTTCGGCCATTGTACGCTCCGGCCTTCTTCAGGTGGTTGGAATTTTGAACTGAACCCTTTATTTCGATCACTAGGATAGACTGTTCTAGTTCCACGTGCCATGTTTGATGGATGTCAGTTATCAGTTATCTCCTGCTAATTTTCCCTCTGAAAGTTCTCCACTGCCTTAACCGGGTATTGAACTCACATTCTTGGGTCTGTCATTGGATCTAACCAACGCCTTTATCCACTGTGCCATGTGTCCTCAAGGACAGTGTATATTACATGTACTGATAAAAAAAAACATACAATATTGAAAGAGTTCATAAGTTCCTATCAGAAAGTTCTCGCGTTGAAAGTCTCTAAATCTTTTAGCATATAATAGAGACAGAGAGACAGACAGACAGAGAGACAGAGGGAGAGACAGAGAGAGATAGAGAGAGAAAGAGAGAGACAGTGAGAGAGAGAGAGAAAGAGAGAGAGAGAGAGAGGAGAGTCCTTGTAAAATGTATATGTATGCATGTAAGTATTTCCTGATAATAGTAATTCCTTCGACTCCCGCTGTGGGATTTTTAGGTGTCTGAATATCTAGAGAATGGGACAGCAGATGAAATCCCTTCAGCGGCTGTTCCTTTTGTTAGCTCGTCACTATCTGTTTACATTTTTCTTTAGACAAAGGGATTCATAATTTTGACTGGTTCACAGAAACGACTCATTTGACAATCCCATTTTTTTTTCACCTACATTTAAGAAAGATAACCTTTTGGCCTCTTTTGTTTGTTTATTTTTTCTTATCTTTTTGTTTTTATTTCTTTATGGCAAACCAAAATGGTTTGCCAACTTTTAGGTCTCTATTTTTTTTTTTTTTTTAGTTAGCAAGGTCGATTTGATAACGCCATGAGCAGATATGAATGCACGTGAGAGATTCATGGAAGATTGAAGTTTAAATACAGTAAATTCGATCTTACTAATAAAATGCTCCTTCGTGGCAAAATGGTAAAGGCATGTCAAGCTAAATGACGGTTCCTTATAGGATACAGGTTCGAATCCTGTCGGAGGACGAATATATTCTATGAAAATTTCTCGGACATTCAGGCCGGTAAATGTTGTTTAATACTGTTTATTATAAACAGAGCATTTACTTAAATATTTGTATCTATAAAAAGAATGTTAAACATAAAAATGTCTTTATATATATATATATATATATATATGATTCAAACAAAACAATTGAGATACAAAACAGCAAAGTTAGTTTAAGTTAAATATTACTAGAGTAAAAAGAATGTTCTTTTCAGAGGTTTAAGTTTGAATAAAAATGTCATATGTATATGCGTGAATGAGAGAGGAAATTTACGTCCATACAGAGGGAGAAAGCGAGATTAATCCGTTGAACCTTCAGCTATGTCTTTGAGTGTATGCTTGTCAATAGAAGTTGATAGACGATTGAAGACAGTTCTTTTGAAGTCGCCGAAAAAAAAAATGTCTTAAAAAAATTTGTCGGACTTTGTCCATATATATATATATATATATATATATATATATATATATATATATATATATATATATATATATGCAGTATATCCTTATTCAAACATGTTTCATTGAATAATATAGACATATTGTGTATATTTATTTATTTTTATACTGATCCTTTCCCGTTTAATCAGTTTCTTGTTTATTTACATTGTTTGGATTGTTGTCCTCATCTTTATTGCCATATTCACGACGTTTCGGCAATTGTATGCTCCGGCCTTCTTCGGGTGATTGGAATTTCGAACTGAACCCTTTATTTCGTTCACCGGGATAGATTCTTCTAGTTCTACGTACCATGCCTCTTTCTGGATGTCTCGGTTATCTCCCTTTAATTGAACGACGGTAGCCAGGTATTGAACACACAACTCTTTGAGTCAAGTCACTGGATTCAACCAACCCTTTTAACCACTGGGCCATGTGTACTTGAGTACAGAAAGAAACAGTTTAAATTTCTGAAACACATAAAGAGGAAAGAAGGCTTGGAGAAGTTGACACTGACAGGACTTAATGAAAGCAAGCAGTAGAGAGGGAAATTTTATTTATCTAACGAGGTTGTGTAAGTGGATAGCAGAACAGGGCGTGAGAGGGATAGCAAAAAGAATTATTTAGAAGAACGGGAAATTGTGGAGAGATATGATCGCCAATGTCCTGATAAAAGACTTTCTTCTCTCTGTATTTGAAGCAACGTTTTGATAGTCTGCCTTCCACAAAACTAAAATTTATGCAAGTTGAGGTATACATTCTAACTCAAACATTTTTTTTATCACAAGTTTGGAAATTTTATGTGTCGATATCTTACAAGGTTGAATTTATAGCTGTAGATCTGTGATTCGGTTTCTTTATATGATTACTGATCGTTAGAATGACCTGAAAAGGTGTTTGGTGACTAATGTCGTTATTAGGTAGAGTTTGCATTATTACGTTAGTTTCCACGAATTTTTGGGACCGATATACTCAAATTGACTTGTCTCAGTCTCTTACTGAAACATCAAAGTACATGTCTTTTTATCGTGGTGTTATATCATGAATTGACTGCTTTTATTGCCCTTAGAAGGGGAACTGTTTTAACTAGTTGTCAGTGAAAGAGAGAGAGAGAGAGAGAGAAGAGGGTGGAGTGAAACAGTGACTTCCATTTATCCTTTTATCTTTTTTTTTTTTGCTCATTATTTCTTCGCAGTTTCAGACCGTGTGTTCGCTAAGAGGTGTAAAATTACCTCTGAAAGATTTTAGATAGACATTTTTTTTACAAGGAAATCCCTCACACTCACGCTAATTGATAATTACACAATTCGTATTCGAACGAAAAGACACTTAAACCCGCCACATCCTTTATTCTCATTTTCTTTTTTTATATAATGGCCGACGCCAATTCCCGAATTGGGATTTGTAACTTCATCACATGAAACCTAAATGCGACTGTCAACTGATCCTATATCAAATATTAATTTGTCTTTTCTTCAGTGAGACCTTTGGACTGCAGGGATTCTTTTCGGATGTGGCTAAAAAACCATAAAGCGGCTGACGACATGTTGGTGAATCCTGTGAACTCCAGGGTATCAGACATTTATAAATTTTTTCTTTCCTTAATTCTTAAAATGAACTTATTCTCGTTTACTTCATACATATACTGGACTGTTCTTTAATCCCTTCCATCCATCATGTTAAGGTGTTAATATACCTAATAATGGCATTCCAAATTTCCAGGAATCTATTCTATAAAAACAGGTAATCTTTAGGAAAATATTCTGCTGATTTTTATTTCAATCTCGAAAAAAGAAAACAAATAATTTTATAGTATCAAAAGGAATTAACGCAATTTGATAATTTAATAGAAAACATTTATTTATTAAAATATTTCCAGATTGAAATTCTGTTCTCATCATATTTCTGTTCAGAAGTCTGATGCTTTTTGACTCTAGTATCATCAGCTGTGTTATGGTTTCTTAACCACATTCGAAATGAATCCTTACAGTCCCAAAGGTCCAATGGAAGACCTATCAAATTTATGATTGAAGATTTGCTACATTTTTAACTTCAGGACCATTTCTTTTGCTAGAATAAATTATGTTCATCACAAAAAACCCTCTTTCAGCCTCTACAGAACTTACAGCAATGATATTAGCTATATATATATATATATATCGGTTATTAATATATAAGATTATTTTTGGATAATCCAAGAACCGATTCGCTTTTTTAAAGTAACAATTGCCACGACTGTGTATACCACAGATATGTTAATGTTTCTAGTGAACTTTAGAGAGTGAAAAAGACTGACATATTTACTCGCTATCTTTCCAAGTACCTCATTAGTATAATCAAGCCGCGAGTAATTTGAAGAATTTGAAACTGGTTTTGCTGTCATATGAAATTACTTGAAGGCATATGCTCTTAGTTAGTATGTAACGGCGTGGGGATGGGGCAAAATATTTGTATTTTTTGTGTACACCTATTGTTTAATTGACATCAAGAGGAGGGGTGGTAAATTTTTCGAAAGTTTTTGCGTATTTACAAGATGGATGATCCTATATTATCAAAAAAATAATAAAAAAAAATAAAATAAAATGAAAAAAAAATTAAAATCGAGTTTCCCATAAGTGATCATGCCAGAGTTGGTTATTGATAATTTCCCAATCAGAACAGCTGATCCAAAGATTAACAACCGATTCCTACATTTTTTGTGCTTTCTCATTTTAATTTCGTTCGTTTTATGATTTTTCAATATGTCGAAGTTCGGCTAAAGATTTTCAAAGCTTATTATATCCAACGCAAAGCATATGTATCACCTACGAAAGTTGTGAAGAAAGTTTAATTAAATTCAATTTAAATTTTAATGTTAATTAAAAACTAAAATGAAAAAGTTCATCTCAAATTCCTACATTTTTTTTTGTGCGTTCTCAAACATTTTAATTTCGTTCGTTATTTTTAGGAAGATGATCAAGTAATGTCATCCAAATTGGGTAAAGAGGAATATATGAGTAGTGTGAGATACTAAATAAATTTTATGATTTTACAATATGTCGAAGTTCGGCTAAAGATTTTCAAAGCTTATTAAATTTAATTTAAATTTTAATGTTAATTAAAAACTAAAATGTAAAAGATCATCTCAAATGTCGTCGCGATTTTACTGATCCCAAACGTTTAGCAAAACATTCATCAGAATCCGTCAGAAAAGATATAACGATTACAACCAACAGCCAAGTGAGTATAACTAAAAATTAATTGCTTCCTATGCACGAAGTATGTTGAGATTGATAGACGTTATTTAGATAACAGTTAGTGGATATTCAAGAAAGAACTCATCAGCTAGCGAATAAAATTATTCAACAATATAATATTCAGACCAGTTGGTTTGAGAACATCAAAGAGCACCTTCAGAACTGCATTAATTATGTCGCTGCTAAAACAGTATACCATAAGAAATGTTTTAGTACATTTTTCCACATCGCGAGTGATATTGCATGGAGTATTCCTGGTAAACTAGTTAATCTTAATTTGTTGGAAATATTCGAAACTTTTTTTCTATTGGCAAGAAAATGAATGCGATATGGACGTACTATTTGCATTATTGTTATTATCACATTTCGGCCGTCCTGGGTAAGACGATAAACTGCGTCCAACAGCAAGGCCTCTGATCAGGAGGTTTTGAGGAGCGTAGAGCCACCTCTTAATTGCTGGTGTTCCCAGGTCCATCCTGACCCGAGGTGGCAGCACCTGTTAGGGTCCCAGCTATGGGTTAATAGTCAGCCCCCAAACTGGGGTCAAAACACTATGTAAGTCTAAAAATACGTTTTAATACCAGAAATACCTGGTAAAAAAAATATTACCAGCAATACATTTTTGAAAAAAGGTGTTACCAGCTATACATTTTTGAAGAAAAAATATTACCAGAAATAAAAATTTTGTCAGCATTAAATAATCCATTGAGGTTGATATGCCGTAAAGCAAATCAAACCAAACCACACAACATTTCGGCTGTTGTAATC